AGTAGTAGTAGTAGTAGTAGTAGTAGTAGTAGTAATCAGACATTTAATTGAAGACTTGCCTCATCTAGAAATTCAGCATACTGTTATGTGTATGAGTGACTGTAAATGGGGTTTGGATTGGTGATTCAGTTTAGTGACCACCTGGATACTCACAACTTGTGACTACACTTTACAGATCACACACATACAGACTAGTATCCTCAGTCTATTATGGTCTCCACTAGCCGTTTCCTGGCACAGGATTTTAACACAGGAGCTATAACTGTCTCACTAAATTACACACTCCAGACATCACACATAAAGTCTTATCGTCACAGCCAGACTTTCAACTGAGAACCCTTGCACCTAACTCGCAGTCGTTTCACACAAACCTCCTCATCTTCTCTTCACCAACTGACTATCAACTGAGCACTCTTGCAACTATCTAGTTTCCCCATACCATCCTGGTTATGACATCTTGGCGTGGACCACATAGAAAACACCGTTCCTCTGTTCCTGTACCATTGTTGTGTTCATGTGTGTTGTTGCAGGAACTTGTTTACTGAGCCATTGTCTAGGAACAGCTCTAGTATATTTGCTTATCTCATGGTTGTTGCTTCATAACGGTTGTACATGTTATAATACATTCTCTAAGAGTACCAGTATATCAACTCCTTGCTGCACCATTTAAATTCACTGTGTCCTGATGTATTGTTCTGTGTTGTAGGTGGCCACAGCACATTCTTTGCACTGCTCAACACATTTGTTCACATCGTCATGTACTTCTACTACATGGTTTCTGCAATGGGACCCAAATACCAGAAATATATTTGGTGGAAGAAGTACCTAACAACTTTCCAAATGGTAAACTTTCCTGCACTCATATGGTGAAAACAATCATCACTTGCATATTATTCTTTGATTTAGACCCTGTTACCTTCTTTCCCTCAACAAAATATAGATTACAGTAATGCTAGACTACAGGTCCACAGTTATTTCATGTGGGGTTCAAAGACTTGCTGGGGGAAGTAAACAATCAAGATTATTTAAAAGTAAATTGATGAATGCAGTAGATTTGTATTCAGACATAACCTACTGGGGAAGGAAAAATGTTAAACAAAGAGGAGCTTCAGATGAAAGGCAAAAAATAAGTAATTTTTCCTTTAATGATTGAGAACTGTAAAGAAAAAAGGTCAAGACTTATATGTGAGGATACTATTATTGTGAGATTATGAACTGGATTGAAGTAATGGGTCCAAGGTTTTTTATTGATATTGCTGATAACGACATTTTTTATAGGCCATGTATTTATAAAGTGAGCAAATATTCTCAAATTTCTCAGTAGTGTTGATCAAGATGGACGTTGCTGTAATAGCATGTTATAATTGAAATCAGTGCAGTTAACATTGTAACAAATTTCTGCTGAAAAATGTTCCTCAGTCACAAAGTATGAAATATCTGTGAATCATTCATAAACATCCTATAAAGGAGAATCCCCTAGAATAATAAATAATATTTTTAAATTGCTACGAACACATTCATAGTATATTTCATAATATATTTTGTAGTAGTTCATGTGTTGCGTAGCACCGTATCTCTTACTTGAATGTTGTGTCCATATGTATCAAATTTATTGTCCATGAACATCATTTTATAACTCATTTTCTTTGTTAGTAATAATGATGATATGTTTCTGTTGCAATGTTTCCACAGTCTGTTTTAAAAAATATGGGAAACATGAAAGTGAGATGCTGAGTCTCATTTAGGGAAGCAATATTCCTTACAGAACTTTCGTTCTTCTTCATACAGTATGTTTCTGTATTTATTTGGCATGTCTGTGTTAGTGCTGAGTTTTATATATTTAACATATTTTTAAATCAAATACAGTATAGAAAACTCTCATAGGCAGGTAGGAGAATACATTCAGAAGAAAACTACATGTTACTTTTAATTTAAAGGTCTCCCAAAACACGTCCTGCATCACTATTAGCTGTTCCTCAGCACATCCACTCCTGCACATAAGAGGTTAGAGTGGTGAGGCTAAAGATGTGCTGGTAATTGTTACACCCCTTATTGTATTTAAATGAAAACTTGTTTTTTTGTTTGTGCTAAATAATTTCATGCTGGCAGGATTAAATATTTGTCTGTGTATTTGCAGGTGCAGTTTGTGCTGATATTTGCACATCAGTTCCAGATACTCTTTTATTCAGACTGTAATTATCCTAAAGCTTTTATGATTTGGATTGGTCTCCATGGAGTTCTCTTCCTTGTCTTGTTTTCGGACTTCTATAAAGCAAGCTACGTCAAAAATGACAGGTCAAGAAACAAAAATTCTGGAGCTTGTATGGTAAGTGCTATGAATTATTAACAGAGGGGTCAATTGAATGATAACAAGATTCATAAGAAGAAGGTTACCTAAATCTCAGGCAGGCAAGACTGAAACTGATTGGGTCTATACCAGTATCTAACAAAGAAATGCTACAAAATACTGTAAATGTTAGAAATATCACGAAATATGTCATGGTGCTTGACATGTTTCAATGTGTACAGTACTTTATTTAATAATGGTTCATCAACTGCATTGGTTATGTCTTCAGATCAGATCAGTTGTGAATGATGATCTGGAAAGAGTGACAAGGAAAGCTGTTGTGATCTGTTTTAAAGTATTATCTCTGAATTTTGTTGGAAATACTGAGGAGAGCCTCAAAGAATTGTACTCAGGATATAAGTGTAAGAATTTGTGAGACCTTGAACTTGTAGCAGTCAGGGTGTCAAGTGTAGCATTTTAATGTTGATTGTGCTCTCAGTGGGTCAGGTAGTATAAGACAGGACAGATGTTACATTTTAATCTTTAGAAATAATTTGTATTCTGATGAACATTAGTAATACTGAAATTTAATTTTTTACATTTTACATTACGTGCTCTTGGATAGCATCTGCTTTGTTAATCTATTTCTGTGTTTTTATGTTTGTTATGTATGACAAAAATCTAAAATGGAGCAGTGGAATGAATTTTTTTTATAATTAATTAATGTAGTTAATGAACTGTCTGGCTGAAAATAAATACAATATAAAATCAATGCTACTAACACAGAAACATTGTCTCCATATATTATGACAGAGAGCTGTAACCCATAAAACACAGTGATTGCTGTATGTAGCATCTGCTTTAACATGAAAATCTCTGCATTTTGCCCACAGAGTATATTTATGTTTCATATGATTCTCAGAAAGAATAATGATTATTCCCTTAAACAGCATTAACCACATTGTCTTCATGTTGAACGTACTGTGTGTTTTCTGTGATGTAAGAAACAAATTTTTATGTATTATTTAGATTAATTTCAGGTTTGGAAAGGTTAGAAAAAACCAGGATAGCTGTCTGTATAGTGACTTGGCTGTGAGCTGAATAATTGAGCAATCGATTCCTGGCAGGGGCAGGAGATTTTACTCTTCTCCACAGTGTCTAGGGAGCCAGGATAACACAGTTGGTATAACAACTGGCTATGGGCTGGATGGCCAAGGGGTCAGAGGTCAAGTCCCAACAGGGTCAAGAATTTTCTCTTCTCCACAGCATCCAGACTGGCTCTGGGGTCCACCCAGCCTCCTAGCCAATGGGTACCAGGGGTTACTTCCCTGAGGGTTAAAATGGCAGGGGCATGAAGCTGACCACTCACTTCCAACTAGTGCTGAGGCCCAGAAAATATGGATCTATACATCCACTCGCTCATACGCCTTTATGGCATAGTACTTAATTAGTTAAGCACATGAACAACTTTACCTTTTTTTACCACAGTGTCTAGACCACTTGTTGGGTACACCAAACCTCCTATGTAATGTGTTCAGGGGACTGTTTCCCCAAGAGTGGCAGGGGCATGAAGTTGACCACTCACCTCCATCTAGTGTCAATCAAACTGTGGCCATCCAATCTTGTTGATACACCAAATGCGCTATCCTGGCTCATTCTCATGGATTGCTAAAATTTTAAATTCTTGGTCCCATTGAAAACTGAGTCAGTTCTTTCTCAAACCAAGTGATAATGATTCGTTGCTTGATATTGAAACTTAGAAAAATGACTGCAGTTAGAACATATTTAAACATACATAAATATGAAAAATATTCCTAACATGTAATTATTTTTATTTTTAGCCTCTAGTGGAAGATAAGAAGACAGACAGCAATGGTAATGGTGTTGCAAATCATGAGCTGACATCAGACTACAGCAGTGAATATTCTAAAGCATATTCCAACTGTTATTCCAATGGTGTGAACAATGGCTACATGGCTACTGCAGCTACAAAAAGCAACAATAACAACAGTAATTCTAATCTCACACATCGCACTTCGTTGATGCTACATAAAAAGAAATAGCACGATTTATTTCAAAGGGGTTAGGTTAGAAATGAACTCATTTAGGTTATGAAAAGGTTATGCAAGCACAGGATTTTCATGGAGCATCTTAGGAAAGGAAATGAATTTGCTAGGAGAGTATCCAGAAATCAGCATCACAAAAACCTTATCAAGGGGAAGAAACAGTGATGTTTGTAATAAGGAAAAGAAAAGTGTTGTGACTGGAACAGTTCTGAATCTGCTGATGTTTGTGACTAGGAACTTATTGTTCCACATTAACTACAGCCATAAAGAATTTTCATCCAGTAGTAATGCTGTTAAGAAATGCAGTCTATAATGATAAGCGAAATGACATAAAGTGTCATTTCATTCATTTTTTCCAGCATGTACAATATAAACCTGTTATGCCTAATATACAGTAACTGCATTTTCTAGGACTGTTAAGAGTAACTGTTACAGAAGAACTGTTCAAAACTGGACAAATATTCTGTCTTTCTAGAAAATATAGTTACATGTTCAGTGATGTGTGGGTGAATGAAGCTTTGTGTCAACTGTATTTTACTGCATTTAAAGAGGAAGATCTTTCAAATACTATATGAAACATTTCTTCCTATGCTGGTACTTGATGAACAGCATCTCAGTGCATATTGTATAATAAACATAAACCTTCATTACCATATTCTTCTCAACGCTTCTGTCTTCGTCAGCAGTTCATAATATTATGGACTCTATGATAGTCCTGTTGAACAATATATATTGTGGTGCTGGTACATTGTGGAAAGCAAGACATTTGTTTTGCCATATGTAATACAATACCAGTTACAGAAGTGACCAAAATAAATTGTTACCAAAACTGAAACCTTAAAAGAACTGCTACAGGAGCAGTGTATTTTCCTTTTTAATATTGTTGGGCCATGGTACTGCCTAACTACAAAGAAACTCCCATAAAAGTATATCTGTAATAAGTTATGTTGGAAGAAAGAACAGTGTGTGTGTGTGTGTGTTATAACTGCTAATTTTGCCTAAAGATAACAAACTTATTTTCTTTGTTACTGTGGCATTAGCAGAGTAATTATTACCTCTTACCTTAATAGGTGGAGTTCTGTGAGAAGATGGCAGCCATATAACATCATTTTATGCTGTGAAAGTAGTTCTGCATTTAAATAAATTTATATGCTTTATACTGTCTTAAGGAGTATTTTAATATATTTATAGTGTTAAGCATGAAATCTTAAATTTTAGTATTTGTCCTGTACTATATACAGTACAGATATCAGAGTGATCTGATTTCTCCAGTATCTTCACTACCTTGTGCTTCTATTATTTTGGATTCAGTATTTACATCAAAATGCTGTCATATTCAAAAGGCATCCTATAATCCATTTCTGACTACAGCAACAGAATTTCAGACCTGCAAGTCACCAGGTAAAAAACTACTTTCTGAGCATGCATTGTTGCAATAAAATATCAAAATATAATCTGAATGTGTTCATCGCGTTAGAAAATAAATGTTGTGCTTAAACATTTAATTTCACCTACACCAGGAAGGATGATGTGTTAAGAGAAGTGATGATGAGTTGAGTAAAGGTAGTATCAGACAAGTCATTTTAAGAAAATATTCAAAAGGTGAGATCACACTATTAAATAAGAATATGGGGAAGAAACATTGAAATATGTCTTGACCATTATAACTCATGATATGAAATGCAAGATATATAAGAATATTGCTCAATAGGTTATTTGAGACCTGATGGGACACATTTGTTGACCATATTATAATACTGATGTTCATACTGCTCTTGTGTATTTGCATATTATGACTGTGAACAGTGTTGCAGAAGTTTCAAAGTTGCATACTGCCTTCATCTTCAGGGTGCAGGTTGTCCTTACATTTAATTAAGCACCATGCCACTGATAATATAGGCATACATAAGTATTTTATTGCATGTCTGTCCTTTCAAGAATGGTACAAGTTTCTGTAAATTTAATTTGCTATGTAAGTATATGACTGAGATGTGTGTAATTTCTTTCATGCTTTCAAGGAAGTCAGTCCAGTGTAATCTTAAACACACTCTACATGAAATGCTTTATCAGTTTAAAATTGATGAACTGATTGAAGAGTATGGGTGCAAAGTCTTATGTCAATTATATCACTGCCATTTCAACCTTTTTGAACTGGTTTGGTCCCAGGCTGAGGGGGATTACAGTAACAACATTGGTGAATGTGGGTTCAAAATGGAGATTGAAAATGATGTTGGAACAATCATTTGAAGAGATTTGTACCTTTGTTCTTGTTCATTGCCTTCAAATCAAAGGCTGTAGAGTTCTACATAAAATCGCTTGTATTACTATCGTTTGGCCTTTCTTCGGAGATTTTTTTGACAGGCGACATACATATTAAGTTTACAATGAATAAGAAACTATTTGAACCTTGGTGCAAAAAAGAATTGTTATAAGAAATGCAGGTGTTTTGATTAAATTTTCCTGCAAGGCAAAATCATGACATAAAGATAGGAAACAGATGTTTTGAAAATGTGGCAAGTTCAGATATTTGGGAACAACGATAAAAAATCAAAACTTGATTCAGGAGGAAATTAAGAGGAGATTTAATTCGGGTAATGCTTGCTACCATTCAGTCCAGAGCCTTTTGTCTTCTTGTCTGCTGTCCAAAAACATAAAAATTAGAATATACAAAACTATAGTTTTGCCTGTGGTTCTGTACGGGTGTGAAACTTGGTCTCTGACATTAAGGGAGGAACATAGACTGAGGGTGTTGAGGAGAATATTTGTACCGAAGAGAGATGAAGTGACAGGAGGTTGGAGAAAACTGCATAATGAGGAGCTTCATAATTTGTACTCTTCTTCAAGTATAATTAGAATGAACAAGTCAAGGAGGATGAGGTGGGCAGGGTATGTAGCACGAATGGGGGAGAAGAGGAATGCATATGGGATATTGGTGGGAAAGCCAGATGGAAAGAGACCACTAGGAAGACCAAGGTGTATGTGGGTGGACAATATTAAAATGGGTCTTAGAGAGATAGGATTGGACTAATCTGGCTCAGGATAGGGACCAGTGGAGGCTCTTGTGAATATGGTAATGAACCTTCAGGTTCCATAAAATGCTTGAAAATTCTTGAGTAGGTGCAGAATTTGCAGCTCCTCAGGAAATGCTCAGTTCCATGAGTAAGTAAGTTTTTGTGAGTGTCGAACAGAATTTCAGAATGTTAGTTTAATTCTCCCTATTCACATTTTGTTTTTCTGTTTCATAACAGTTATCATTATTTTTATTGCCATACATTTTCTGAGTTTTATGAGGTATGTTCTTTATATTTTCAGTTTTTTGTTTGCAGTAGGAAACACATTTTGTTGTGGAGCCATTTTGTCTTACAAATACAGCAATACCTCACACAGTCCAGCTTCGATCAGTCTGTATTCATTATAGTCTGGTTTGAAAATTTTAATTGAGCAAAATAAAAATAAATTCTAAAAAATTAGTACACAAAATTATTTTTAATACATAAATGATCAGTTTTTTTCCTTTTATATAGTCAAGTCTTTTTGTGCAGTTTATTTTTATGTGGTCTTAAAGTTATGCAATACGATACATATTTCAGTTTTTTCTGGGGTTCCCCATTGTATATGTATGTACCTGTGCTCGTGTTGTTTGTTCTTGAGATCTGACAGCTATCACTGGAGGAGGTGGGGAGAGCACTACTTTAACAGAATTTTGGAAGAGCTACAACATCCGAAACGTTAACGAAAATATAGGTGAAGCATGGCATGAATTAACGGCAAGCAATATGAGGGCGGTATGGAAACATATTGTCACATGTTGGGTGTATAACGCGACAAATAACTTCACGCCTTATTGGATATAGCGAATTTTATTCCACACTCACTCAATCACACAGTTTACAATCTCACAACTACTGCTGTCTGCAATATTACAATTACTTGGCCTGCGAAGGCTAGACTATAACTGACTGGTTGACTGCCTGGCTAACTCGTAACTCGTAACTAACTGACTCACTGCTGGCTGTCTCGTAACTAACTTGAATAGTCTTCGCTGCTCCTTATTTAGCCCCGTTACGGACAACACAGAAAACAGTTACATAATAGGCACCACTGTTGTCTGATGCCGTGTTTGCCGACAGCCTAGCAACACTGTTGGGAGTTGTTTACTGCTGAGTAGCAATGGCGGCATCCCGTGTTACGTCACCGCTGGGGAGGGAGGGGGTGTCCTCCATAGCGCAACACGTCACAATATCATACCACATTGCGCAAATGATTTCATTGGTTTTGAAACTCATTTTGCTGAAGTCACTAATAACATAGTGGAAATTGGACAGCAACTTCGTTTCAGTGAGTTAGATTCCGTCAACGTAATTGAGTGCATCAAAGTGAACACTAATGAACTAGATAATGAAACATTTATTAACATAGATGAAGAACGGGAGGACAACTTAGACAGCGACGACTGTGTTGAAGTGCCTGCACGAGAATTAACAGCTGAACAACTATCAAAAATTATTTGAATGGTTGTAACCTTGTCAGAGCATATTATGGAAGTCGATCCCAATATTGAACACAGCCTTACAATTCGCCGAACGATAAACAATGCAGTTCGTTACTACAGAGAAATGTATGAAGAGAAAAGGCCAATGAAGAAAAATGTGCAGACATCAATATTGCAATTTTTAGGAAAAAAAATGAATTTTGAAAAACACATTTTTTTTAAATTATTTCTAATGAAGACATTTGAATTTATTAATCGTATTTTATTTATTGAAAAACGAAGATTTTTTTTGAACCAGTTATCATTTTTTGTATGTATTTAGTTCCTCGATTAATCCGGTTTCAAACAGTCCGGGATATTGGCAGAACCGATTACCCGGACTATGCAAGGTATTGCTGTACTTACTTACTTAGTCATGGAGCTGAGCCCTTCTGGAGAAGCCACCAATTCTGCAGCTACTCAAGAATTTCCCAGCATTTGTCTTACAAATAACAAGATTTTTTTTTTAAATAATGTAATAAGTTGTATATATACACACACACACACACACAAGGATGATACATATTGGTGATTTGATGATTTTAATCAGCTTTAAACTTGAACTGTACCTGACTTGAAATGACTACAATTGTGTACCAGGTGCAAATGTAGACCAAACACAGAACATTATTTGAATATAGCTAGTTTCCAATTTAAATTTTTTGAAGCCTTTCCAGTGGTAATGCGTCGGCAGTCATATTTATGTGGCAAGATGGGTTTGAATATGATCTCTAGTTGAGGTACTTGATGTATGTTATGATGTATTTATTGCCAAAGATGCTTTGATTTCAATCAGTGAACTGGAAAAATGATGTCCACCACTTTCAACAGTGTACATTGTAATTTCTGTCATAAGATCAACAGCTGTCTGTGAAAATAGTTTGGAATGACACATGTGAGGTGTTTCTGGTTGTCCTCCATGGATGAAGATGTACCAGCTTACCTGCTAAATCTTTGTTATGATATGTCCTGCATAACAATAATACAAATTTCACAATAACAGCAGTTCATAACAGTTTTTACATATGGGTTTGTATAGGTTTGTGGGGGCCACCCACATTGAAGAAAGCACTAACTAATCAGCATGGACCATGGCACCTGGCCCATTGTGAGCTGGCTGGGCTTTCTTGCATTGGCGGCTGGGTAACTGTGAACCAGCTGGTCTTTGTGTGTCAGCTGATGATGGTGTTGCTGCTAGGTGACTTGCTGTTGCTGTCTTGATGTAAGCGTAGCTGCAACTGGCTAGCATGTTGGAGGTCTGCATGTTTATACACTGTCACTAGCAGTGCCAGATTCAATGGGTGTTGGAGCTATCATGGTCTGCGCTGATTGGCTAGCGTTTGCTTCACTGTGGGAGGCTTCCACGGATTATATAATTTGGCTATGTTTCACTTTTGCATTTTGTTGACAAAAGTATAAACTAGTAAAACTCAAAATTAAGGCCATGACTGCTTCCTTCCACATCTGTATCATTCCACCATCATTATGGTACAGCCTGTCATTTCTGTAAATGGTGTTGTTATACTGAGAGAACTTACAAGATGTATCATGAATAAAAAGAACAACTATGACCTGAAGTGTATGTTAATATTTTTTAATTCCATTTGATGACTTTTTTGCCAGTATCATATACAGGTCTCCAGGTGAAAGGAAGAAACCAAGAGGTAAAGAATAATAGTTTATTCCGAGTTAAACGTTCTCCAAATACTAACAGTCAGTGCAAGGCTAAAAGAGTTCTCTGGAACTAATATGAATCAATATTGTCATGTATCAGTGACTAAGATGCTGGTTTGGTTTGGATTGGTGAATTGATTTAGTGAATATTGACTAGTCATAACTACAATTAGTTCTTACACACTCAAGATTACTGTAACTGTAGCCCATAAAGTCTTCTATGTCTGTTAAAACTTCACAGCTGAATCCTCACACCTCCTTTCTGTGATGGCTTCGTGTCCTTGACTCGCAGCTTCTCAGCTATGACTGACTGCAAACGACCTTCGCTGTCCCTTATAAACCTTTGGCATGGACCACACAGAAAACAAGTCGCGTGATTCCTAGCCAATGACATCATTTGTGGGCTGACTGTTTCCTAGCAATGAGCAGTAACATTCATCCACTGAGGCACAGCTTCCATTGTTGCATGTTTGGACATGTTTACCGAGCCATTGCCTAGAACTGTTTTGAGCAAATCCTTTAAAATATATAATTCTTATAGTGCCATCAACACAGCCATCTAGGATTAAGAGTGTTTAGTCTTACCCGTTCTATATTTTGGCCCTATTTCTGGGTTATCTTCAAGTGGTATACACACTTAAATATCAATCATCTGAATTGCCACATCATACATTCTAACAGGATATGGGTCCCTTGTACATTAGTATTATCTAACTGGATATCTTTCATAAGGTCAAACAGTGAAAACATAAATGAGAATATACAGGCAGTAACAGTAATTTAAATGTAATGTACAGTGTCAGAATGTGGGTCAGCTGTATATAAATATACATATAGTGAATATTCTGCATGTATATCTTGTTGGCATATTGTTTGATTTTGCTGGGTTAAAATTATTATTGAAATTGTATTAAATATTAAAAATATGATGAAAGTAATACATAGGAATGTCATGGTTTCCTGTTGTTGTATTTGTGGCATAGCATGCCTGATGGTGCTCGTCACTAGTCGTATTTGGGTGTTGACCTGTAACGTGAAAGCACACTTTATGTTGGCTTGTGATATAGTGTTACTTATTGGAAACGTTTTCTGTGAGAAGTGGAGAAAACTATTAGTGTCCTTTCATCTTTATTCCTAGAACAGTAGGTAATGCCATGGAAATGCATAATACAACAAAAAAAAAAAAAAAAGCCTTTACATGAATACATTTGAAAAATTTCACATACAAAAAAAAATCAGTAAACAGAGAATACATAGGAATGAAACCTCTACAGACACGAACAATCTATTTACAACCTGATATTACAAAGCACAATGCCCGATGGCAGCACACAAGATACATATACAAACACCACCACACCACATAACAAGCAAATGAAGCAAACTACATTACACGAACTGTAATTCAAATCATCAAGAAACTACAGGCCAGCACACATCAGAGTAAGTAATATAACACCCACTTGTAATAACCGAACCACACATAAGGCAACTGATCAGTCACCATTAAAATTATAAGGAACTAATTTAACTTGTCTCAATTTGGTCCGTCACACTATTAATTACAGAGTAGATAATGAAAAGTTCAGTCCAGTGTGACTGTCAGAACAGAGACAAGAATAATCCCTAAAGGAATCATATGAAGGAATCTACCACATACAAACATGTGAGGCAGAACAGGAAGAAAGAATAAACTCTGATGATACTAGATAGTTGTGTTGATGGTAAAGTTTTCCCTGTGCTTAACTAATGAAGCATTACGCCATGAAGTATGGGGGAGTGGATGTATTGATCCACATTTTCTAAATCCTAGCACTAGTCTGAGGTGAGTGGTCAGCTTCATGCCCCAGTTGATGGTATTGTAAGAATTATATATATATATAAAACCCAACAAGATGCTAAAATAAAAAGTTATGAATCACTATATTTCTAACCAAGAATATATGTATAATTCTGGAGTTGACTGGGGGATTACATATCTGACTGAAATTCATTATGATGTGCCTTGCACATATTGTAATGTTAGTTTTACTAAATTTCTCTCCTGCTAACAGTACATAGGGCAGCAGGAGTACTGAAATACAAGTGCATGGTTAAGAGCTTGTCTTTGTAAGGATAATTTTTGCTAATGAAGTATCTTTTCTTGTTTGCATTTTAGACTCTATATTCTGTTCATTTTTGCAGAGGTCATTCCTCTCCATTCTGCATTGTAAAGGGAATTGTTAGCGATTGATTAAGACAGTACAGCATAGACTGTTCCTTCACATTGGATTTTTTTTTTTTAATTTGCTTTTAATTAATTCGCTTAGTGGGGGGTGGAGTCCAACTGGGTCCACTCGCCATGGTGGCCACTGATAGGTCTATTGTAGCCTGCCCTGGGTGATTATGATGGAGAACTTGGTGGAATGAAGATTTGCAGGGGAGACCGAAGTACTCGGAGAAACCCCACCCCAGCACCACTTTGTCCACCACAAATCCCACCTGACCAGACCCGCTATCGAACCTGGGCCGCCGCGGTGGGAAACCAGCGATTAACCGCTTGAGCTATGGCACGGCCATCATATTGGATTAATGCTAGCACTATATACAGAAATGATGTATGTTTTGTGATGAAGAAGGGCAAGGGGGCAGTTTGGCTTTTTATGTTTTTGGTTGTTCTGTTATTACTTCTGTTAGGTGGTAATGCCTGAGCCATGGAACAAACTAGATCATTGTAACTCAGTGCAATGAGAGCTTTTGCATTAGTTGAATATATTTCAGTATTGATAGCATTTCTAGGAGGATATTATGAAATCACAAATCATTTGTAGGTGTTGACAAAAGATGGAGCACCTGCTGTTCTGATATTATGAGGAAAAATAATTTTTGTGTCAGATATGTCCATCTGTAGTTGTCATGCTGGGTGCTATGGGAGATGGTGGACACCCCCTCCCCATTTCTGTGCTGTGTGCTGTGGACTGACAAATCCATATTTGCAAGAAATTGTGTATGCAGTCTACACAACTTACATGCATGGGCAGTGGAGAATCCTCATACTACTCATCACTCCAACAGAGGTTTATTGTTAACGTTTGGCCCTGAATTATAGATGATTACATAATCAGACTGCATGTAATACAGGATCATCTTGGTGGAGTGCACTACACAAATTTCTTTGAGGAAACACTCCAATTTTTATTCGAGGATGTGCCTCTACATGTGTGCTACATCATGTGGTTTCAGGCCATTGTTGCTCCTCCTCACTTTACAAATGAATTCTTTTCACATGTGTTGTTTTGATCGCTCTGAGATGCTTTAGTATAGCGCCTGTATTCTGGGCTAAGGTTTATTCACATATTTTTTGTGGTAAACATGCAGAACATGAGTTGACACAGGAAGATACCAATAGTAATACAAGTACATGCAGGAACGAGTTTATGAGCCTGCACTGAAATTATTTCCTTTTAATGTATTAGTCATTCTCCTGGACTTTGCTACTGATCTTGTAACTGGTTCGTAAAAACCATTTCCACCTCTGTATATCTCTGTGAATAGGTGAAAACCTCATTATTACTGTTAGCCATACATAATTTATAATGCATTGAAGTAACTGAAATGCTATGTTTCATACACTACAGCTTTCAGCTGTACAGCTTATAAGCTGTAAACGAAAGTAATGAGTAATTGGAAAGGGTTCTGACAATGGGGTGTAACACTCACAATCACAGGATTTTTGGGCTTTGTCCATGGTCCGGTATAGAAAATAGAAAAAAAAAACGTTTCGGACACTGGATTTGTTTTATTCCTCAGGTGAGGGGGGTTGGGGGTTGGAAGATGCGTACTCAATTGGGTCCTTTAGAAAGAGCTAACCTCAATTCAGTGTACACACACACAAATGGCCTAGATAACTCCCGCCAAGCCTGCAGGAGAATTCGCTAAAGGCCCTGAAGGCCGTCTACTGGGTCTACTGGTCTACTGCCACCTGTCCCTGAAGATTCAGATTTAGAACTTTCTGTGCTCCTTGGCATGGTGAAAGAGTATTCCTGTAATTCCTACTCCTGCATTCCGAAAATCGCTAAATAGTCTTGGAAGTCACGGATTACTAAATACGCAGAAGTGCTAATCGGTGGTAGTGCCCCGTCTAAATTTTTATTGAATGCCGTCGGTCGGTTAGATCGAATATGAACGGGAGTTGAAGGAGGCGCGTGTGCATTTTCGGAATAAATTTTTATGACAATGTCTGAAGCTGACTCAAGTACAGAAGACATCGAAAATGATTCCGATCTGGAGGTAAACAAATTTAATTTCTGAATGTTTAACTGTCGAGACTATGAACTGAGGATAGGTAGGTGGGAAGATCGCTTTTAACTCGTTCGTGAATTCGTGAAGCTTTGTAGACAGGTAGATCATGGTTATGTTCAGGTAGTAGGGACCGGAGAGCACCCTGAGAATAGCAGAAGTTCGGTATTTGCTTATTTTATTCAATTCGTCAGCTGAATATGCTGAATTAAATCTTATTTACATTTCACATATCCATGCTTGTATAGGAGTAGAGGAAATGTGGAAAACATAATGTTTAAAGGAAATGCATATACAGTGCTTTTTGCGAATATAAATGCATATATGTATTTGGGAAAACATCATACAGTGACGTCTTACCGTATCCGTGTCGGTACTTTTGTGGTGAAAATTTGATCGGCGCTGGTATATTAAGGGGGGCTGTAAAATTTGAAGTTGTCCCTGTGCTTGACTAATTAAGCATTACGCCATGAAGGCGTAGGGGAGAGTGGATGTATAGATCCACATTTTCTTGATCTCAGCACTAGTTGGAGGTAAGTGGTCAGCTTCACGTCCCTGCAGCTTTTCCCTTGGGGGAAGAGCCCTGATACCCATTGGGTAGGAGGTTAGGTGAACCCTAGAGCCGATCTGGATGATGTGGAGATGAGAAAATTCTTGAGCTTACCGGAACTCGAACTGCGACCCCTTGGACATCCAGCCCATAGCCAATCGCTATACCTACTATGGTATCCTGGCTCCCTGTGATATGACTGTCCTTGTAATAAAGTATGCTGAATTTGTTTTGTGTTTTCCCATTGCATTTATTGTCAATCTATAGGCCAAGAAATTCAGTTGTTTCTGCTTCTTCACTTGTTTTATTTTCACACTTTTTAAAAGTGATAAATTTTCTTTGAAATTTTTGCTGGTTGGATGAGAATTCTGGATTTGACTTGTTCCATATCCTATGGTGTCTACCTGTACCTAGGTTTACGGAATGTAAATAAATTGAAAAATTGAACCATGTAACTGGGAGTTTACTATATTCAGATTAATATATTTTGTTGTTAGTAGCAAATTCTAGGAAGAGTAATTTATAAAAAATTAGCGCAAATTAATTGACTTTAAACCATTTGTTGACGCTAGGAAGGATATAATTCACACAGTTATGAAAACTGTCTTGTCAAATTGAGAATGACAATACAGATGCAATTAGTGTATTGGGAAGAATGTGGATGAAAGTTACTCTAGCCTGCTTTTGATATGTTAGACACTGAGGAAAATCATGATAAACATATTAGGATAATCAGTTGCCTGGTCAGGATTTGAACTGGGTAACCTCAAAATACAAGAGTTTGATTTGGGATTGCCAGTGGTGAGATCTACCAATCTACACAATTTAAAAAGCACTTAAAAGTAGGTTAAGAACAAGACATCTGAGCTGTTCTAACATGCTAAAAGTGTTGCTGAATTTAGCCTTTATTTATGGTTATTACACCTCTGACATTAGTTTTTGTCTATCTGGTCAGCCAATTCTAACAGTTGCAAAAATATACCAACCGGTGGTGACAGAGTGTATATTGTGATAAACATGGTAAAATTGTAAAACTGTTGTCCTTGACTGAATCATTGAACTCTTGTGTTTAGCTAATGTTGTAGAAGTGTTACTACTAATAATTCAGTTAGAGAAATTCTTAAGCAGATGTAAACATTGCAGCAGGTGTGCAGGAAATGCCACTACCTAAATGCAGTGATGTTACCATGGATTTCTGTAGTTTTTAGTTTTATTTGTTACTGCATTAATAAACATTGATGTTGATGTGGCTTCAGATGCAGATGCTTTTACAGGTGTTTAGCATACAGCACAAGTACAAAGTTCAGATGTGATATGAGATATAAACTACCCCTGTGTTGAAGAAAGCAGTCTTGTGGGATGTGGCGTCGTGTGGGTATTGTGTTAACCAACGTTTCGGAGGAACGTATCGCCTCCATCTTCAGGGTATAAGAAAATATGAAATATGCGAGCGAACCAGTGTGAGCAGTTGCAACAGACTCTGTTGCACCTGCTCATTGCACNCTAGTGAAACCAGGATTAAATATTGTGTCCACTGGCCACAAGAAACACTATGCAAATGTTGTTGTAAGTAAGGAAAGGGAAATGATAATCATCACTTGTTGATTGGAGAGAGCGTGATGTACTGCTAATTGAGTAGGTTTGTTAATGAATCGATGTCATATGCAGGGGGATTGGTTGAGAGCCTGCTGCAAATTTTTCATCCAGTCAGGCAGAAGAGAGAATTTTTCTGTGAGTGTTTGGACCCTTAGTGGAATCGATGGGTCCATAGGCCAACTAGTCACAAACAAAACCCACCTAGATCATAGCAGATGCCAGAAAAATTGTCCATGTTGTTATTGCACCTCCATAACATTTTCACATGCATTAAAGTTCAATTTTGGAAACAGAGAAAAGTTGAGACTAAATATCATTTTCCTGTGCAAAGTGTTTAAGAGACTTGTAAGAGCTATGTTTAGGTCTAGCATGTATTTCATCCATTTTGTTTACATTTAGTGCTCAGCATTTTGATTTGCTTTTCATTTGTCCAATAATAACACTGTATAAATTTATTTTTGACCGCATGAATAGTTTTTAACTGAAATTTGTGCTAGAATCTTATTCTTCCTCTTCACATCAGTATTAAACATGAGCACTCATTTCACTGTGTAACAGTCACATGTCTTTTTGATACAAGAAGTAATGTGACAGTATGTAGTACTGTAGCAGAGGCTTGGGGTGATGGTGAACCCACACATAATGTATAACCTTATTTCACAGACGTTATTCAAAGATATATTTGGGTGATATTGAAGGTAAATTGTAATGTTCTTAGGCAGCTGACTTGATTACATCAAGAGCCTGAATTTATGTTGTGTGAGTTGACATGAGTGGTATATGTCCCTCCTACCTGGTGGGCCAAATGGTTTGTATCAAACTCTCAGATAACCTCTGTATAACTCTAAGAAGTGGATGATGTTATATTATTATTTTGGGTGTACATATGCTGCAATGGAAGATAGATAGATGGCTCTAAGTGATAGTTTTGACTGGCAAAAAATATTCAGTTCCTTAGATCATTATGACAAATTTTTCAAGTTGAGAGTGCGGTTGTAAGTAGGAACAAGAGCCTGTATGCCGTGCTTGTAAAAGTCTGCGCCAGCAGAAGCAAGCCACTTTCTTACAGCTGCAGTGACAGCGTTGTTGTCTGGAAAATGTTGCCCACGTAGTCCATCTTTCATAGGCCCAGAGATGGAAGTCTGAAGGTGCTAAATCGGGGCTATAAGGTGGATGTGGTAGTACAGTCCAGCCAAACTTCGCAATGTGCACAGTGGTCACAAACTGGTATGGGGTCTAGCATTATCATGTTGCAAGCGAAAGGTTTTCTGCTTCTCTGGCCTGACTCGGGAAATGCGGGCTACCATCTTAGTCGGAGTCGTCTTGTAGCGTTCAGAATTGACAGTCTCACCAGGCTCCAGGAAATCTAACAAAATCACACCCCGCCTGTCCCAAAAGACCGTGCCCATCACTTTCCCTGCCAATGGCTGTGTCTTGAACTTCTTTTTTTCTTGGGGAATCCAGATGTCACCACTCCATGGACTATCTTTTGGATTCCGGCTCATAGTGGTGACATCACGTCTCATCTCCGGTGATGACGCTGTCCTGAAACTTGTCAGCTTCAGCCTCAGACTGGTGCAACAGGTCCTGACAGACTTCCATTCGATGAGTTTTGTGGTCCTGTGTAAGCATCTGTGGGACCCACCTGGAACAAACTTTTGTGATAATCCAGCTTCCCTGACATTGTTTGCAATGCATTACAGCCGATATTAAGCTGTGCACACAGTTCCCTGGTCGTTATCCGCCGATCTGTACAGATGAGCTGATTGAGATGCTGTTCATTGTGAGGAGTGGCAGCTGAGCAGGGGCGCCCAGGGTGTGGTTTGTTGCTCACTTCACTTTCACCACTGTTGAAACGCACTACCCACCGCCGCACTGTGCTCACATCCACTGTATCGTCTTTGTACACCTTTAGCAAGCATTGATGGATGTCAGTGGGTGCAATTTGTTTGCCAGTGAGAAATTCAATAATACATCTCTGTTTCTTATGCACTTCTATTTCAGACGCCATTTTGGTAGACTGCCCTGCTGTCACTATGTGTTGCACGACAACCAGACTAACAGTACATTGGCGGGAAGGTTCAACCTTTACTACAACACCACCAATATCCAGCTCAGACGTTACATATTAACACAGAAAAATAGGAGGCATTATATGGGAAGGTTCAACCTTTACTACAACACCACCAATATCCAGCTCAGACGTTACATATTAACACAGAAAAATAGGAGGCATTATATGGGAAGGTTCAACCTTTACTACAACACCACCAATATCCAGCTCAGACGTTACATATTAACACAGAAAAATAGGAGGCATTATATACGGAATGCCCTTCGTATATTTTATAACTGTTTTAATGATTTACTCATTGTGATTTGTCTTGGATAATATGTGTAATTGTTATGGATTAACTATAATTAATTTTTATTTATATAATTGATGGGATTTGTCCTGTTGCCGTTGACTGTTTCTTTATACACTGGTCTTCCAGCCATGTTAGTATCCGTGAAATGTAAATGAATGAATGTTTTGGAGACTGGACTCTGCTTTTGTCTTCAGGTAAAAGGCTTACTCAGGTGGATTCCTTGCTGGTCCCTGTGTCCAGACTACTGCAAATGATATCCTAACAACTGTAAGATATAATTTATTAAGATAATTACAAACTGCAACAGACAGCTTGTACACTCTGTGCGTGTTATGTTTTTAGTGGTCTTTTTAAGAATGGAAAGTATGGGTAAAAGTTACTCCAAGCAGCTTATATCAGTCCATTCTTATAAAGTCACTCTGTACGATTAAAATGACTGTATATGGTGTGTGGCTTGGCTTTTGGGACTAGGCCACAACATATGTTGAGGGTATTCCAACATTACAGCAAACCTTGCAGTTTCCAACATCAGGATTAATGATGTTTGGCAGCTTTTATGTACCTCTCACATTAAGCATTGTGTCACAGGTGAAATATATATGTTGTTATACCGAATTATAGGTTGAACTTAAAAGGAAGTTGTCAGAAATCAAATTGAAGCTGGACTGGGTTGAACGGTTGGATCTGGTAAATGACTGTGCACCCCTTGCACCTGAACTTGCACATAAGGTAAGCCATGTTTATTTTGAACTGGTGATTATGGTGTGCGATATATGTTACTGCTCTGGTACAGTTGATATCGTTCGGTAACTTATCATATTTTGTAACATTTATGGTCACGGTAGTATTAGGTGTATGGAGTTTTATTTTGGCAGGGTATTAAGTTTTAGTGCAGGATGTAGGAGAAACACATGGATGTTTCAGTAAGTGTAGTAAATGATGAAATGGATTGTGCGTTAATACAGATAGGTGAGAAAATGTGCAGTGTAAATTTTTTTAATGGGATAGTGCAGTTGGTACAGCGACTGGCTACATGCCGGATGGCCAAGGGGTTGGAGTGCAAGCCCCGGTAGGGGAAAGATTTTTCCTTCTCCATGTCATCCAGACTGGCTCTGGAGGCGACCCTGCCGCCTATCTGATGGGTACAGGAGGTCAGGGGTTCAATTCTTGGCCTGGAGGTTTGTTATCCCGATTTCGGGTTTTTATGATTTTTCTTGCATCATCAAGGTATGATAGTATAGTATATGGGATAGTATATCAGATTTGGCCACAACTTACTTTGTAGAATTTTCAGTTCATTATTCACTAATTATTTTATCAGTTGATCCTATATTGTTTGAGATATGATTAAATGAACCACAAATAAGTAACTATGGGAGTAAACCAAAGCATGGAGTCACCTCTTATCCTTGCTTGATCATTGCTTTCGCTTTTCGATCTTATGTCTTGGCCCTTCCTGTTCCTTTTTAATATCTCATAACCAGGGCAGGATTTTGATGACCTGAAAATCTTTAAAAAATGACCTATAAAGTGGCCGAAAAAATCCAGAAAAATGACCTAAAATATGACCCAAAAATGTAATATGCAGGGCCCGGATTTTGATGACCTGAAAATAATTAAAGAATTACTCATAAAATGACCGAAAAAATTCAGAAAAATGGCCAAAAGGAGAAAAGAAAGAACATTTTGATTCCATGTTATTCACATTTCAGAGAACATATGAAGAAAAATTCCCTAAAATGGCCAAAAATGACAAGAAATACCGTTAAAAGTCCAAAAATTTACCCCAAAAATACCCCCAAAATGAAAAAATCACCTTAAACCTAAAAATGTCAAAAAATGCCAAAAAATTACCTATAAAATTTACATTTCTGTAACCAGCAGCTCATATCCGAGATTTATATATTTAAGAGCATCGCATACGATACAAGGAAAAAAAGCTGACATGTCATCAAAATCCGGGCCCTGCTCATAACTGTTTGTTTTCTTCTTTGTTAGGAGTTGAGGAGAGAATGTGTCCATATAGAAGCTGTGTCCACTTCTGGCAGGCCAATTGGGGTCTTATTTTTTTTTGTCTTGCTGATGAATTGGCGACTGTTGTTTCTCTGATTCTTCTTTTCCTAGTGTTTCATTTCCCTGTATTTCCTTTCCTTTGTCCTCTGAGTAAGTATCACAGTCACCTTCCAGAAATATTTCATTTTCTTCAGAGTGGAGTTTCTTAGTCAAATTCATGATTGTGTATGACTGTTTACTGAGAGAGACATGAATTGTTGAAGGTTTGTGACAGTGACTAATTGATTATACCAATATTGTGTTTTACATTTTATGAGGTTTGTTTGTTATACACAGCATTTTGAGGGTGGCTCTATTTCTGTCTTCAATTAATTATCATTATTTGTTATTATTATTATTATTATTATTATTAATTAATTAAATATTTATGTTTCTTTTCACTTCTAAATAACACTTAGTTTTATGATAATGAAATTATTATTGTTATTATCATTTATTTGCTTGTTTGTTTACTTTTCTTCATTACTGTGTTTTCCCAAGAAATTTCCTGTAATTTATTTTTGACTTATAATGTGTTTGTCTAATGTTTGTATAATGTTACACTTAATTACTTTCATCTTCACTGTGCTAAGTCTGTAATTGGCCTTACGGCTGTTGACGTGGCACATTAATAATAAAGAATTGAATTGAATTATTATTATTATTTGACATTTGTTATTCACATTATGGTTTACTAAATATACTGCCTGCATTTCCAAGGTAGAAGGTGATTTCTATGTAGAGAAAAGATCACTTTCACACGAATATGATGTAGTAGAGGATTGTAGGGTGTATTACATAAACATTCTGAATGTGAAATATAGGTTGTGAATATATTACCATGGGTTACTTACTGTTTAAATATGTTTATGTCATTGCCTTCAAAGTGATAAATACTCATCCACTCCATAGGACTGACCTTGAGAGCACCCATAATTCTATATTTGGTCTCCAACAAGCCATCCATTCCTATATACCTGCAGTGATGTTAAATTAATGTCCCCCCCCCCACACACGCACGCGCACATATCTCAAAGATTAAACACATTGGAAGCTGTGCAAGAGATGAAGTTCCCACAGTTGTGAGAATTTAGGTTGTGGCTTCTACAGTGATGATTGAGGCAGTAAACCAAAATAATGATAACCACTTACAAGATTACATGATGTTAAAACACAGAAGACTACAGTCTACACTGAAAGCTATTTTATATTTTATTATTTGTTTCTAAGTACTTGTCCTGTTACATGTTCTACAGACACAGAAATAACATTCTGTAAAAATGTACATTTCATGTAACCAAGATAACAAAGAAAAACTAAAATTGGTAACAATTTTTTATAGTATATGAGCGAAACAGTTGGACAACAATGGGGAAAGCTGTTATGTTTAATGCACAAGGAAGTCAGTGTAAATTAGGAGTGTGTTCTTAATAAAGCAAATATTATTCATCCAGATGAATAAACTATGATTATTACCGTCTTTCAGAGGAAATGGAATTTCATTATAGTGCATAGCTTTGGGGGCAGATACACCTAATGTAGTAAAATACAGTAAATTTCAGAGGCCCTTTCTTTTTTTAATGTAGCAGAAATTGAATTTCAATTTTAAGTACACTGAAGAAATCCTGCCATTGTAGTGCTACACCCTAGTGTTTTAAATGGAACTGGTCAAAATGTTAAGTTTATGAACGGGTGTGAAATTGTCATGCAAAAGGTGTCACCACTTTATATTCTTTTGTACTAAGAGGATAACTGAAAAAGTCAATGCTTAATACACCAGGTTCAAGATTGTTTCTATATTGTATGTGGTAGGATGTGTAATAATGTTTGTAAGAAGTTGAATTTGTAGAATCCTTCGTAACTTCCCAAAGAAGTAATTGTGCAATTTTTAGATTTCATAGCATGCTATGCTGCGGTTTCATCAAGTTCAGGAAAGTGTCATCATATGTATTTATTTTTTATGATTTATGTCATGATGCTGTCAGTAGCTGGTACTATGTAAAATTAAGCGCAGAATTAATAGTGAATAATTTGCCTGAAGAGACTCAGTCACTATACTGGGTAGCTGGTGTTAGGGCAAAGATTTGAACTAATTATCTTCAAAATATGAAGCAAAAGTACATATGGTTGACTGTGATGGAGCACAGCTTTGAATTGAGTATGTATGTTAGTGAGTTGTTATCCTTGCTTCTTCTTGTGTTCTGTAGTTACAAGAAGAGGAACTGCAGCATGAAGCCAAGTTTAGTAAAGGCAAAGGAAAGGGACGAAAATTGCAGAATGTTAGAACCGAGGATCTGGCTCTGAATGATTTCCGTCGGGAAACCCTGTTCCATCGCCAAGCACAGGCAGCTGTTCTTATTGGCATCCCTAAACTCAGGGAAAAGGGTGTGAAGACTAAACGTCCAGATGATTACTTTGCTGAAATGGCAAAGTCAGATCAACACATGCAGAAGGTATTGTTTTATTGTCTGTATGTTTTACTGATTAATTCTTGTTATATTTGAAGTGAAGTATTGCATTACACTTGTTGGCCTCTTACAGGAAGAAAATATGAGTCTATCAATCATTGTAAATCTGTCATAATAGCAGTATTTCAGAAACGTTTTTTAATCTTGGCAGAGTTCTGTGAATGTATACATACTACATTTGATGGATGATATGAGGTTTCCTAAGGTGGATTTTAACAATATATTGAGGAAAATATTAAATCAGGGAATATAACATTAAGACTTGCACTCATTGAATTGAATATTGAATAAGTGAAGACCTTAATTTAACGAATAATAAGTGGGGATTCCATAGTAATGTACGCACAGACACAGAATGGTACTTCTGACAGTTTGCAGCATTGTAACCAGCAATGACGCTCAGCTGAATGATTTAATTTGGTTCTGTATGCATTTAAAGTTCTTTTTAATAAGAAAATTACAGTAGATGCAGAGAGTGGCATCTTCTAGTATCAAAGCACATTTCTCAAATTTTGCAGCATGATAAAGTTCATATTCTATTCCTCCTAGGATGATGATTCAAATATTAACACCTCCATAGTGAGGTGGATATTTCGTAATATAAATTTTTGCAAAGATAAAAATGATGCATGTTCAGATTTGAAGAATACAATGGCTGTAGTCCTGCCTGCTGATTATTGATTCACTAAACAGTCTGCTGTATCTCTTTGTGCGTTGTCCTGTTGAAAATATATGTAGCAGTTCTCTTCAGATAAGGGTTCCACAATATGAGGTCATGTATTGAGACTGATCTGTGAAAACCGAGATAACTGCATGTAAGATTTGCAGCTTTCAGAGCAAATACTTATAACTGTGCTAAAATCTTATTGGGTTATCAGCTGTGTCAGTTGACATGGCGATTTTCCTGAGAATATTTTGGCATAAGTACTGCGCTTAATGACTGTTGGGTTAGTGCCCTACACTGTAAGCACCAGTAGTACACATGTTATACCATTCCTGCCAGTGCTGGAAGCATGTCTCACACTCCATTTTTGTAATCACCAACAGCTGCTGTGTTGCATTGCGTTCGCTTGTTTCTGCAAACTTTTTTTTTTTGTATTTCAAGACATTTAAGAATGAGAGTACCAGCAGTTATGTTTTGAGAAAAGAGTTGTGATTATGTGATGTTATGGAGTATAGTTATGCTGCATGACAGTTTCATAACTGAAGAAAACAATCTGCTACTGTGTTTTCACTACACATTTTATGTCATCTTTTGTGAGGGGAGGTAAAGAAGGGATTTTTGCTGTGATCACTGTTATTTGCTTTTAGGATCATAATGATAGGCTCAAGTTTCATGATCAGTTATTGCATTTTTAAAGAAGTTTTCATTGTCTGTTTCCCCACATTCAAACTAGGCCAAAGCAACAGACAAGCTGGGTTCAATTTCTGCTCTTATGTCAGCAAGAGAAGCTGGCTGATATGGTTCATTCCCAAATCTTTGGTTGGGTTGGCCTGACAAGAGGCATGAGAAACTTAATCTCTTTCACCCATTTCACAAATCTTCTCTTATTTTGAATTGGTATTAAATCTCTGTATATACATAAAGACTATCATTTTTATTAGGCTGCAGCATTTTGGACAGTTTCACATACAGAGTTAATTCTAAGTTCATTGAAAGGGGCATAAATTATAAGTTTATAGCAGGTTCCAGTGATTCCAAAATTTTCAGCAAAATAATTACTTTCATTTTATTAATCATAATTGTTACCAGAGTGCTGTAATTGTGTATGAATGTAGTATGTCTGATTATTATATTTATATTTTCATGAGGACACTTCACTGTCATTAGTGACTTAGTAAAAATTCTGTATCCCCTGCGGTTGATGCAACATGCATGTATCGGTACCAAAAGCAGGAACTTGTATGAAGTGGACACCTATCTATCAGTATATGCCTTGTGGTCATACTGAAGAAGATAAATGTTTAGTGTAAAAATTCCTGGAATCTGCCTGCTCTGGCATTCTGAGAATGTTTTTCCTTACCATATGCAAGTCACTGCATTATGGAACATGCGGTACATGGACCTAATCAGTTGTCTGCAAATGGCCTGTTATGATCGTGTTGTAGTAGTATCTACCAAAAAGAAACATGTTATATTTGAATAAAGATATAAAATTGGTCAAAGGGATTGAAAACTAGAAAATTGTAGGAAAGTTGGGTAAACATGGTGTTACAGCTTCAACAGTTTCAGAAAAGGTGACAGTTTTTAAAGACATTTTGAGAAGCATTTGTGGATGAAAATACTGCGACTGAGTAGGCAGTTAAGTTGTGTCTTAACAAGGACATTTACCAGTGGTGAAAGTGTTGGTGGTAAACTGTGAAAGCAGGAGAGACAAAGAAATCTTAAAAATCATTTCTTAAACTCTAATTTTTTTTTCAGATTTTGTGCAAATGTTGTTATACACTTCATAAGTAATGTATATTTACTTATTTATAGAATTGTGAGAACCTTAATGAAACTGAAACACACACAAATGGAAAATATTCGTGGCCCCATGCCATTCTGTTTTGAATGTGTTGTGTGTATGGGCATGCATGCATATACTAGTATATGTGCTGTATAAGAATGAGCCATATTTTCCCCTTCTTGTAGGTACGTGAGGTTCTGATGAAGAAGCAGCATGCAAAAGAACGTGCTGAACACGTACGTCAATTGCGTCAGCTTCGCAAAGTTGGAAAACAAGCTCAAAAGGAGGCTAAGGTCCGACAAGCTAATGAAAAGAGAAAACTGCTGGAAGAAGTGAAGAAGTACCGAAAAGGTCTGCGCACAGACCTGGACTTCTTGGATGAGAAAAAGAAAACGCCAAAACCAGCAGCATCACAAGGGAAGAGGAAGGGACCCACGGATAAGAAGTAAGAATTTGTTTATATTTCCAGTTGGGTCTCTGCTTGACTGTTTTAGCAAATTCTTATTCTCACATGTTGGTTTATTGGCGTCATTTTAATCTCATAACGATTTTGCTGTTTCTGAAATAAACCCTCCTCAACGAGTTACTGCTTGTATACATGTGAAGTTAGGAGTAAAACAAAGGGCCTATCCAGAGTCCTCAGTTTGATATTAATTTTTCTGTGCAGTCTGTGCCTTCTCCTCTGCCATACTTATTTGTCAGTATGTAAGGTGCCAAATCTCTAGTATGGTATGGAGCCTATACTGAAAATGGTCTTCTTTGGTTAACATTTTCTGTGTTCTCTATTTGGGAAATAGGATAATCTACCTCAAGAGTATTTGCACCTCAGAAATGTATTTCTTCACCTTCATAAGCATACACATCACATTATAATTTTTGTTTTTTAGTAGTTTCTTAAACTCAGATGTATGTTGCATAATGACTGCATGATGATAGTGAATAATGAATTGGGTTGTTTGTGGAAGGAAACAGTCATTGCCTATTGTAAGTTACTGTTCTGGAATTTGCCTCGAGAAAGTGAGGAAAACTAGAAAAGAATCTCAGTATAGTTGGTATCCTGGGGTGTGGATGTATAAATCCTAATTTTCTTGACTTCGGCACTAGGTGGAGGTGAGTGCTCAGCTTCACACCCTGGCCGCTTTACCCAGGGGTAAGAACCCCAGGTACCCATTGGATAGGAGGTTGGGTGGACCCCAGAGCTGGCCTGGACGATTTGTTGAAGAGGAAATTCTTGACCCTCCTGGAACTCAAATTCGGACCCCTCAGTTGTCCAGCCCATAGCTAGTTGCTATACTGAGTACACTATCCTGTCATGAAACTTGGTTAAGCGTATCATGCCACATGAGACCATCTCAGCAGCAGTCTTCATAGATACCTCACATCAGTCATGCTTCAGCTTCTCAAATTGTTGAGGTAATAAACTTAATATTACTTGAATTCCAGAACTAATTGTCATGATACTTGATACATATATTATGGCATCTGAGAACATCTCATGAATCCCCATAGATTTGTAATTTTCCATTATGTATTGGAATGGCGTTTATCTCATGATTATCTTTTTCTCAGCTCATTCCCAGAGTTTTCATTTCCTTCTTAAATTACATAGTAGTTGAATGTTTTAGGCTTATACAACCTATTCCATTAAGGTTATTACCTCAGTAGTTTCAGAGGTGGGAAGGTTTCATGAGATGGCCTCAGGTGCCATGATATATGTACCAAGTTCCATGACAATTGGTTCTGGAATTCAAGTAATATTAAGGATAGTACCTCAACAGTTTGTGAGGCTGCAGTGTTACTGATGTGAGGTATCTAGAAGAATGCTGCTGAGATGGTCTTTCAGATTATGAGTCATCTTTAGGTAGTAGGAATTCATCAACAGACTAGAGTGACGATGTATTCATGTATCTTTTAGTGATACTTTGAATTGTGCCTTTTCATTCATAAGACTTTTGAGACTATATGTTAGATTATTGAAAATTATAATGCCTGCATAGTGTACACTTTTTCTGAAAATGTGAGAGGTTGGCAGTTGGTGTGGGAAGATGGTGTTTATTCTTTGTGTTAACACTGTACAGCTGAGTTAGTCTGAAAACGTTCTTGGTTTTTACAGTGATGTTCATTAATGAAAATATGTATTCACATGGAAAAGGCAAGCTCGCTAATTCCTTAAATAGACCTGTATATGAATTTCTAGGTTTGACACCTGCCATGTTTCTAACAATTTTCTTTTATAATATATAATATCTTTTTGCTGTTGGATGAATTACCACTGATTATTAATGAAAGTTATATCTGATATTGCAGGGTGCATGCAAAACGTCAGTATAAAGACCAAAAGTTTGGCTTTGGTGGAAAGAAACGAGGAATGAAGAGAAATACAAAGAGTAGTACTTCTGATGTTTCTGAGTTCAGACGACCAGGCAAACCAAAGCGACCCAGAACTGCCCAGAAACATCAACGTCCAGGGAAAAGCAGACGCTTGAAAATGAAAGCAAAAATGAAGAAGTGATAATATTTTGTACTGGAAGATATAGTAAACTCAGATACTAAAAATGTGTTTATGTATAATTGGAATAAGAAATACACAATTATATGTGCGGGTAATTGATGGTCTACTATAACTCCACAGGATGAAGTACTTGAAACGTACTAATAGTTGGTCAACAGGTCAGGAGATTTTGTGCCTTTTAAAGAACTTGACTATTGCAATGCTCACAAAAATCCATAACTGACCCCAGCCATGACCAGATGAATCTGGTCACCATTGTGACACCCTGTCCTTTTAAAATCCATTTTAATAATACTCATCCAACTCATGAGAAGTTAAACAATTCTGTCTAATGTGACTAGTGAAGATTTTTCTTATTTCAGTTATTTATGTCCTTACATGTTTCGGTCTTCAGAGGGAAACATTTACTTAAATACAGTTAGAAGCCACTATTACAATACATATTCTAAAAGTTAAAATGTATGCATACAATATTAATAATATATACTTGGTTATAAGATCTAAAGCCTTTAAAACTACAGGGACTCTTCCAATACATTCAAATATTTATAATTGGTTTGTTAAGACTATTGGAATTCGTAAACCAAGCAGGTTTGTGTCGTCCCTCTTATTATTTTTTGATGGGGGCTGCATGTGTGCCACCTTTTCGTCTCGAGAAGAGGGTTCTTTGATGTCCTGTATGTGTTTGTGGAGCGCTGTGTTGTGTTGTAAAATTCGGGCCACAAACACATACAGGACAACATCAAAGAACCCTATTCTCGAGAACGACAGGGTGGCACACATTCAGCCCCCGTCAAAAGAAATCATAAGAGGGATATATGAATATATAGGAGCTGTGCTGTTTCAGTTGGTGTAGTGACTAGGCTACAAGCTGGATGGTTGAAGAATTGGGGTTTCCTGCAGGGAAAAGCGATTGTTCTCTTCTTCACAACATCCAGACTACTACTCCTGTCCAGTGAATACCAGGGACACTGTCGTCAGGAGTATTGTATACTATTCATGCTTTCCTGTGAGATAAAATGAAAAAAAGTAAAGTTTTCTTTGTGCGTATCTAATTAAGCAGTATGCCATGAAGACGTATGGGGAAGTGGATGTATAGATCCACGTTTTCTTGACCTGAGCTTTACCTCCTTGGATAGAGTCCCTGGTACACATTGTACAGGAGGCTGGATGAACCTCAGAGCCAGTATGGATGATGTAGAAAAGAGAAAATGCTTGACCCTACCAAGACTCAAACTCCGGCCCCTTGGTCTATAAAGGGTAATAAAATTATACAATAATAAAGTAGTGTAAATCTTTTGTGTAACAAAATTCATGGGTCTACATTTTTGGACTTTGTTATTAGAGTTTATGTCATTTAGACAATTTTAAAAAGCTCCAGTGGAAAGCTCAAACAGGACATACTCATGTTATAGATTTTATGTAATTTGTATTGTAGGATGTGTTATAGCCAGGGTTCAATCCGAAATCGGAAAGAACATAAAATTTTTGATAGAAATTGACAGTGTTGCTAGCTGTGCTTGCGTTTTTTCTTCTAATGTAGAACGTATAGCTGTATCAAACATTTTTGTTTTTCGTGGTTCTGTGTGTCTTCTGCGTGGTCTAAACACACAAAATGACAATGCAAGCATAGCAGTCTCCATAGAACAGTCTTTAAAAACATGATGGTGACGAGTGACTGTCAAAACATTATGGACAGTGTGGTTATTAGAGTAAGTTTAAAAGGCGAATTATGTTTATGTAGTAACTTCTAAACAAAATTTTGAAAAAAGTGTTGCATATGAGACAGAACATCAGATAGATTTGTTAATTAACTAATAATGTGCAACATGATGCTTTCAATATAATACTATCTACCAACAGACTGGTTTTAAACAATGGCACCAGGATGTGACAGTCCAGGTATTGTTAATCTCCCCCAAATTTTTGGAAAAATTAAATTTGAAAAATGAACAGAATACAAAATAATACCTAAGAATGTTGAGCACTGTCTACAGAACCATCCTTATTTCAGTACAGAGACCCACAGCTCTAGGGCAATGTACAGGATGTCCACCACTTAACTACATGCTTTTCACATCATTTTAAGGGTAAAAGTTCTGACGAACGTGGGTCCGATCTGTGACAGTTTGTGAAGAAAATGAGAATGTGCATTCTACTGCATTAGTAATTTTTACATTATTTCCATTTAATTTTAGGTTACATTATTACTATTCTTGTTGTCGGCAGTGGCAGCACTCGTTGATGTTGTAAGATGCTCCTCTGTTAACCAGGCAAGAGATGAGGCAGGTGACTGCATGCCTGAACACTTTCAGGACTGCTGGATTGATTGAGGTGGTCCAGTTGCTTGGTCAGCGAGCTCACCAGATCTTTCGCCTTTGGGCTACCTCCTCTGGGATCACATGAAATACCTGGTGTATGCCATCAAGCCAAACAGTAGGGCTGAATTGTTGGATCGAATAATGAACTCCTGGGCTCACACCAAAAATGGTAATGACTGTGAAGAGGGCTATCACTTCAATTGCATGAAGGGCTCAACTATGCATTGACAGTTATGTAAATACCACGAGTAGCTGAAAATGCAATTTAGAATGTAGTCTGAACTTACTACCACCACTGCCAATAATGATAATGTAGCCCAGAATTGATCAGAAATAATGTAAAAATTACAAATGCAATAGAATGCTTATTGTCACTTTCTTCACACTTTGTTGCCGATTAGACCATTTTGGCTCAGTATGATCCAAGAACACACAGTTACATTGTGGACGTCCTGTTGTGGGGCAGTATGTATAGACATCTGTTAAATGGCTTAGCTGTAGGTTTGTAACGAAATTTTCTGCAGCCGCCCCTCAAAAAAAAAAAAGATGGTATGGCACCCGTGCTTTTAATACAGGTCTTCATTTACACACAAGTTTTAGTTCTCAGTATGGGTTGGAGCTGTTGGACTTAGTTAAACTATCTCCATGGAGCTGAGTCTTTCTTGAGAAGCTGCCAGTAGCTCAGCCACTCAAGAATTTCCCTACGCTGTATGAAACCTGAAGGTTAGGTAGCATGTTCATAAGATCCCTCCACAGCTCTCTATCATGAGCAAGATCAGTCCAATCCACACCACCCAATCCCATCTCTCTAAGATCCATTTTAATTTTATGTAGATCTGTGTCTGGCTATTGGACTTGGCAAAAATATTGTGTCATTGTTTGCATGGCACTAGTTGTATAAGTTTCACTTGTTTAATAATACTATAAAAGAAAGACTGAGAAGGATGTTGATGGAGGTATTTATGACCTGTTATAAGGAACCATCTTTGAATTTGTGTACAAGATTTGAGTAACCTGTGGGGGTTGACCCCCCCTCCCCCCCGCAAATAAAAACAAATTGAACGTAACAAAAGAAGCCAATGTAATCACCTAAGGCAATAAAACTGACCAGTTCTTATGGAGAGGTATCACAGTTATCAACTTTGTACAACATTTTGTGTAATATTTTTTCTCCCATAGTTCAACTTCATGTGCGGCAGTTATTGAAGACTTTCAGCATGGATTTCAATGTATTAGATCATCTAATAATAACATTTTCTGCATTATGAGATACTGAAGAAAAATGTGAGTAAATGGGATGGCATAGTAATTGTTTGTTGACCTCAGGAAAGGTTATGATTCATGTCAGTTGGGAAAGGAGTATTCTGTTTGTTCTCACTGAATTTGATATTCCCATGAAACTCACTCACTCATGGAGCTGAGCCCTTCTGAGGAGCTGCCAATTCTGCAGCTACTCAAGAATTTCCCAGCATTTTATGGAACCCGAAGGTTCATCACCGTGTTCACAAGAGCCCTCCACTGGTCCCTATCCTGAGCCAGATCTATCCAATCCATCCCATCCCATCCTATATCTCTAAGATCCATTCTAATGTTGTCCACCCACCTATGCCTTGGTCTTCCCTGTGGTCTCTTTCCTTCTGGCTTTCCCACCAATATCCTATACGCATTCCTCGTCTCCCCCATTCGTGCTACATGCCCTGCCCACCTCATCCTCCTTGACTTGATCATTCTAATTATACTTGGAGAAGAGTACAAGATATGAAGCTCCTCATTATGCAGTTTTCTCCAATCTTCTGTGACTTCATCTCTCTTTGGTCGAAATATTCTCCTCAACACCCTGTTCCCATGAAACTAGTTAGGCTATTTAAAATGAAACTTCCAGTAAAGTAAATATTTGATACATTTCATGTTTAAAATGGTCTGAAACAAGGAGATGTGATTCATCTTACACCATTAGGAAGGCCCAAGAAAACTTAAACCGAATGAAATGGAATGGGACACGATCAGTTTCTAGTCTGCCGACGATATCAATTTACTGGACAAAAATATAAATACATGTACTTTCATCATGAAAGAGAAATGCAGAATAAATATCAGAATGATATTAAGGGTGTTGGTATAGAAAGGTGTACAGATAAAACTAAGTATAGGTAATAAATACTTTGGAAGTGTAGAGATGTTGAAATATTTGAAAATGACAACATCAAAATTGCATTTGCAGAGAAGTTGAGAGTATGTAAGTTTTGAGGTTTTCACGGCGATGACAATGAAGAAAGTCGTCTTCTGGGTTTAGGCACCGTGTATTCTTCGTTTTGGCCGACGTTTCGGAGGAACGTAGCGCCTCCATCTTCAGAGCAGCTGAATGGCTTGGAATGCGGAGAGCAGTAGCTACGTTCCTCCGAAACGTCGGCCAAAACGAAGAATACATGGTGCCTAAACCCAGAAGACGACTTTCTTCAAGTTGAGAGTAGTTTATAGGAGGAGAATGCTTGCTACCATTGATTTCAGAGTTGTCTTTACTTCCTGTTTGCTGTCTAAAAGTGTAAATGGGATTTGAGGTCGTCACAACAGTGAAGATTTAGATTATGGTCTTCTGGTTTATGAAATTGTATATTCTGGTAAGTGGTTACCGTTGTTTCAGCGTCAGCATGTTTCCACAAAATGTTGGTAACTATCTACCAGATTATATGGAGACAAAATCTAGAAGAACATGATCCAGAATCTTAGAGATCAATATAAAGAAATTATGTGTCAGTTTGCCTGTTGTTTTGTATGGGCATGGAAGTGGGTTAAGAGTATCCGAGGACAGTATGCTGAGGATAATATTTGGTCTTAAAGAGAGGAAGTGACAGGAAATTGGAAAAATCTTCATAATGAGAAACATCATAATTTGTACCCTTTACCAA